AGTTTCCAGGATTGTGGATTCGGGTTCAGCGCTGAGGGGTTTTGGGACTTTGGTAGGTTACGTTGTGGGTTCTTGCGCTTTAGTTGGTCGTCTTCCGGGCTTCTTGAAACGCCTACACCCTGAAAAAAGACCCTAAACTCTCCTAAACTTCCTAAACCCTAAGCCTATTTGCTTGGAACTTCATGTTCAGGGCCGGGCGGGTGCAGGTCCCTGAGCGTTCCAGCCTCAGCCCGGAGCCCAAAGCCCCGTTGACCTTCACTAACCCCCCTACACGGCATAAATCCCTGTTATTGGAAGGCGGACTGGCAACGGAATTACCCCAACCCGCTGAAGAAGGATGACATGGACCAAGGTGTGGAAATTCTTGCATGTAACCTTCAGGGTATAGGGGGGTGTTGTAGGGTTTGAGAGGCAAGGGTTTTCTTGCGCAGGAGCTCGTTCACCTAAATCCGGAATCCTGTCATTGTCGCCTCTCTTCTGGTGATCAGCCTTGGGCCTTATACTGCTTTGGGGTCAGGGCTAGGAGCAGCTCGCCGCCTTGCAGTAGGCAGTCTATACTTCAGATGCACATTTCATCTTGAATTAGGGATCCAAACTAGGAGCCGAGAGCCTCTCGGCATTCAGCACTCGAATCTGGCATGGTTCTGCCATCTGGAGGCAAAGTCTGGACGAGGAATGAGGAGATACTCTTCGATGCTCTTTGGGCGGTCGCCTTAATTCTCAGCCCCCGACCAGACTGCCACCACACCCCTAAACCCAACTGCAATCGGCCCCAAACGCGCCGGATGGGATCAGACAGCCCGGACCCAGCCCTGTATGCCTTGTGCATCAAGTGCTTTGAACTTCTAACAGCTATGACTGTCATGGGTTTGGATTACCATGATTACAGGGATGTTGCCTGTTCCTGGTAGACAAGTCTGTTTGCACACGCTTCTTCCCGATACCCTTGATTTTCGACATCCCTCAACATGATGGTAATAGGGTTCCCTTCAGATCTAGCTAGAACCCGAGCTACGTGTGTCCTCGCGCCCTCAGCCGCAGGCCTTGCTCCCAGAATCCCTGATGCCCAGAGGCAAGCAACGAGCCGCTGAACTGAGAACTTAAATGAACAGCTACCCATCTACCCCACAGAGTCTATCAGGAAACCTAACCCCTAAACCCTATTATAGTTTTTTCAGGGCCCACTTCATTAGGAGCCCGGCACCTTAAAGCCGGCTGCCCAGGCGGATCCTCACAAGGGCTTCGGATCGAAGAGGCCGCCTGCCTTTGCTCCCCTTTTGGCTCTTTGTGTTCGTTTAGGGTTTAGGGTTGCTGCGATTGGAGCTTTGGCTTTAGGCTTCTAGGGTTCAGGATCTATCCGTTGGGTTTTGTTTGCGCGACCTGGGCCTTTGAGGTTTAAGGTTCAGCAAAGACGATATCCCCTGAACCCCCCTAAGACACAACAGCGACAACCATCGAATCGTAAGCCACAGGGGTTCAGGATTGCGGTTATAGCATTGGAGTCGTCTCAGGTCCAGGATGTAGGCTCCAGCATCGTGCACTCCGTGCGAACGCCCTGTGATTGGGGTGGTTCAGATTCAGTAATAGGGTTTAGGGCAGCTAAGAGTTTCGAGTCGCAGTTTTAGAGGTGCGTCGGTGTTTCATTGTAACTATACAGAGGTTGTTTTCAGATACCCCAGCTCCTGTAAGCCATAAAATCTCGGACGTGCTCGGGGTTTAGGGAGTGTCTGCAAGATGAGTCGAGGTGATTGAAGCCAATCACTCGGCGCCTAAGCTTCAATGGGGTTGACGTGTGAAGTTAGTTCACTGAGTGCTGGGAGTGTAGCGAAAGTGTTTTGGGTCCAAGCTGCGGACGCACATGTTCTTCTAGCCTTCAGGCTTTCCTCCAAATCACAGCCAGAGACACCAAAAGCCGCTGAAAAGCCTAAATCCCCTGAGAGGCCGAGCTTGAAATCCCAGTAAACCCCAAAGCCGGAAGCCCCGAACCCTAAAATCCCAAACCTTGTAAAGCTAAACCTTAAAGCAAGCAGTTTACAACACGCGTTACACGACCTCCCCACCCCTCCCCCCCCCGAGGTCCGAGCGTGGGAGAGTGGCCGTACTGTCTGGAGCTCGCCCTGTTCTTCTAGGATCAGGGGACCAAGCTTAATATTTTCAGGATGAGGTTTGGGAGTTTGTTTGGGGTTGAGGATTCGCGGGCTCTTTGGTCCTACGATACTTTTAGGGTATTTTCGACATGTATATCAGCTCATAATATGTTAGATACTGTAGGCGTCTATGGGTCCTCATGGTGTTCTCACAGCTTTCCCACAAGGCATGCCAGGCCTGTTCTGTGAAGGTCGGAGGATCCCAATATTTGCGGTGTTCCGCTCGCCGCTTTGGTGCAGAACTGTTGCTCCGATGCCGTCTGAAGTAGGGTTCCTTCTGAGGTATACAGTGAATATAGTGTCTTGCACTTATTACAGAACGGACATGCAATGCTGCGACCACGCAGAATCATTATTTGACCCGGCTCTTGGCGAGGATTTGTTGAAACAGATTGAAACTGCCACAAGGAGGGGCTACAGCGCAGATCGAGAGTTTTCACAAGAAGAAACCTCTGTCTCCGGATACATGAAAGCCTCGGCTAGTGCGAAATCTTTTTCCGTAAAGCTCGCATGCATTTGTAGTTTCACGTCAGCCCGAAGTCTGTTCGAGGTGGTTTTTACCCCGTAAACTTGTAAGCTCTTGCCTTGAATGTGTGACAGTCTCAAGTCGCAACGTGGGCTCAACAATGCAGAAGCAAGTTTAGAGTCGATGTGCTTGCCCCCATGCTTCTGAGGGGTTTTAGGCTGTGAAATCATGGCCTCGGATACGCAGCCAGTGGAGGCCGGAGTCCTGGAGTGCAGTTTGCAAGTGTCGGATTGGGTTTAGGGTTTAGGGTTTAGGGTTTAGGGCGGGCCTGTAGCTGTTCACTGCAAGCTCAACGGGTTCGCAAGCCCCATTCCCGAACCCAACCGCTTGTTTCGCGGGGAGCAACGAGAGTGGTTTGATTTGAGAAGGTTCGCCGTGGAGTTTAAGTTTGCGTCCGGGTTTCAACATCATTTTGTTTCAGATCTGCAGCCCTGAACCCTCAACTCTTAAGCCATGAGACCCCAAGCCCTAAACCCGAAACGCCTAAACCGTAAATCTATATAAACTGCTGGAGCCCTTAAGCCCAACACCATTGAAGCCCTAAGCCCCCAGTCTAAGTTCCACAAGCATGCGTTCATCTCCGTTGCAGGCGCCTGCGCAGCAGACCTTCGATATCGCCCAGATCGGCGACGGTCTACGGATCGCCCCTGGTCCGATATTCGATCCGGTTTCGGGTTGAGGGTCTAGGACTTTAGGACTTTGAGGTTTTAGGGTTGTTAGTTTATGGTCTAGGGTTTAGGGTTTATGTGGCGGCTGTTCTAGATGTTGATCTCTGTCGGCGCCTTCGGACTCTGATTTGGAGAGATGACGCCCCATTTGAAAGGCCACTTATGTTGTTGTCCTCGGTTTCGGGGGCTTGGTCTCCCGGGCTTCTTGGGGTGAAGGGCTGAAGGCTTGCAGCTCTTTGTCTTAGTTCTTTGGCTTGGTGGGTGTTCGGTATAGGTGTGGGCGGTGTAGGGCAAAGTGGTTTGGATGTAACCTGATGGTCCAAGCACGTGCTCCTTTCATTTGTGGGTTCTCAACGTCTTCTCTGGCTACTTATTTTTAGCCAGGAATGTACTAGTAGTTTCCCCTTAAGGTCCCTATATGGCTACAGTTGAATCTACCTTATTCTAGTTTGAAGCCCCTTCTCTAGCTCCCTGGCCATTTAACATAGGGTCATATGGCAAAGGCAAAGCCTGCATGACTGGTAGCACAGCTTCTTTGCGAATCGTTAGCATGAATGTGTATATGGTATTTCCAACTATTGGAAATCTCATCAGATCGTGCAAATCTCACCTACATCTGGAAGTCCATATAGTAATCCTATGAGTTTTTCGGCCCCTGTCTCCAGGGTAGCAGGGTTTTACAGCATGATGCTGCGCGCAATCTGCCGGCTAACAGGCATACTCACTGCAAGGGAGATGGAAGAGACCGCAAGTCGCCACGACGATTGCTTGAGGGTCTTGCCTAGCCCTACATGTTTTTGCAGTGATAGAAGTCGTAGAAAGCTTACACCCACACCTACACTTTACAGCCCCGAGCCCATACTCTATACTCTGTAAGGCTTAACTCGCCACCCTCCACCCCTTCCAGATTAGCACGAAGCCACTTAGCCAAACCTTCAAAAAGATTCAATTCGAAGCTCATCAAGTTTCCAGGAACATGAAAACGTCCGGGCGCCAGAGCCTGAAGCAACGCAGTGAAGCCCGAGAGTCCACGGGAAGGAGATAGTCCATTGCTCTACGACCCCGACAGTTGTGTTGTTCTCATTGGAGTTTCCTTCGATGTACTTCTCCCGCGAGATAGAATGATACGGACGCCTGCTAATCTGCAATAAGAGAAGGAAGCGCTGAGCAAGGAGAATATTGATCTTGACCGTCTCAAGGAGGGGCGGGGCGCAAGCACCGTTTGCGGGCTTGAGCTGTAGATGTGGTTGCAGGGCCTAGCGGCCTAGCGGGGCCGCCGGGGTTTCGGGCTCATACCGACAGGTGTTGCAGGGCCAAGCCTTTAGAGACTTCCCAGATGAGACAAGGGTTTGGAATGATTACAGCAGGTTGTTCCACTACCCTTCTTTTGGAAATCGGTAACGAGGTTTGCTGGACTGCTTGCTGTTTTCGCGCTTGGGCACATTGGCCTCGCAGGTGATAGGGAACACCGGGAGGGTCATAAGTTTCAACAGACTTCCAGAGAAGTCCAACTACACGCTGATCCCCAAGCCAACCCAAACCAAACCCGAGTTTCTAAAGCCCAAAACCCTAAACTCAACCCTGAGGATGACTATACACCGTCGTCTGCCCTGCAAAGTTGCATATGCTAAGACACTGACACCCAGAAGCTCGCAGGGGATGGCGCACCTCTACCTGGATGGCTTCGGTGGGAAGCGCTGCTGCCTTTGCTGCAAAAACACCGAGGCGTCGCTCTGGTAGAGGAATTACGGTCTAGACTCTGGGGTTTGGGAAACTCTGGCCTTCACTTAAATAATTTGATCATGTCATTGAATCAAGAGATGTACTTGCAACTGCATTCGAGCATGCCCAGGCCCACGCGGGACTTTAAGACTGAGAGCACTACATGTACCAAGCATCCGGGATGTCGTATCAACTGATTGACCTCAAGGTGGGCAGAAATCGGAATAGAATTTCCAATCAGGGTTGATGATCAGACACCGGTGATTATCAGACACCGGTCGGCCCAGCAACCGGTTCACACTAGTAGACTCTGCTGTCGTGGCTGGGGCGTCTTCAAGGCTCCCGCCCCTGTGACAATCTTGTATGGATATTGTATCGTAGACAGTTGAACAAAGCCCACACTGTCTACATGCATTTTCGCCGGAGCGCGAGGCTTCGCTAAGTCATGAGGCCGTTATTTGATTGCACTGAAAGAGTTCATGGTCAGTACTTCGAGCGTCATTGAGGACCATGTGTGTGTGTGTGTGACGACTTGTCCCTCACCCCCGTTCCACTCCGATAGCCCGAAACCTGAAACGTAGCGTTGAAAGGCCGACAATTTTCACTCTCCAACCCTTAGTAGCCCTGTGAACCAACACCCCAAAATCAAGAAAGTCTTCCTGCCCTGTGAGTTCGAAACCGTCAACGGTGTGCGGCTCCTTGTCCGGCTTGCAGTCGCATTTGCTTCGGGGCATCTGAAGAGGACGCCGGGTAGCTGCTTTGTAGCTTCTTTGTATCTTCGGTGTTGTTTCGCTTGGGATGTTGCTGTTTATATGGCTTGTTAAAGGCGTTTTCAGGGCATTCCTGTATTTGGGTGTTTAGAGCTTGAGATTTATGTTCCGGCATGGTTTGGGAGTTTTGAATTCCGTGATGCAAGGTTTGGGGTTTTGGGGTTTGAGGCTTACAGGTTAGAGTGTTTCAGGGTTTGGGTTTCAGCTTATCTAGAGCCTCTAGGGTGCAGGGAGTTCCGGGATCTTTAGGTTCATGCTTTAGGTGCTGGAAGTCTGGCGTGGAAGCCAGTGACCTTCCCGTGTTCAGTCTGGATTTAAAGCTGTAAGTCAGTGTGTGCAGCAGCGACTTGCCGATTGCAGAAGAAAGCTCTGCAATTGCAAGAAACCCCCGAACGAATGGTAACAGGGACGGGTGCGACGGGTGCATCTCATGAATCCGCCAGAGCTCGACGTCGCGCCACACCCTCCCTCAACGGGGTTCACGATTATTCAGTATTGTTGAGGCGCCCAATATGATGCATGGATGTGCTTGGTTCAGATCGACCGGGGCTGGTCATGAAGCGGGCCCTTGCAATTTGGGGCCGAGTAAGGTGTCCTTAAGACTAGATGATTTTGGACAGAACCCCAATTTGGCGCTTTTCAGATATGTATTGTGTTAAGGACTTGTAGCTGCCTTTACCTTTTGGGCGATTTGGAGCCAAGGCCGGCCTGCCGATCACTCTCCCCCAGCCAGACCGTCTTCCGATTCCCAAAGCCGAACACATCGAAGGGTCCAAGCGCCAGTGCGAAGAGCCATGGATGAGAACTACCTAGACTTAGAGATGACTTAGACCCTGTTAGGCAAATCGTCTGCCTTAGAACCGTAAACCTCAAAGACCGAGGCCTAAAGATTTAGAGGGAGCCCTACAGCCGAGACCTGGAAGCCCCCTGATCCGTCTGGAACCCGTGACCCGTAAAAAAAGCCCCAAGCCCTAGCCCTAAGCTTCTTCTCAGGTCTTCCTACCAGAAGTTCCCCGAGTCCAAGTTGCAGGCGAAGCTTTGAACTTCGCTTTTGCAGTCAGAGGTTGGTTTGTGCGTAGAGAGAAATAGGGCTAGGGCTGTACAGAGTGTGGAACAAAAGAGCCAAATAAAAAAGGAAGGCTTCGTACTTCTGCAGCGACTTCTGTAATTAAGTTCTTGACTGTTTAAGACTTTGAGATTTGGGGTTTGTGCTTGGGTAGCTGGCTCAGCTCCTAGGCCTTTCAGGTCTAAGCGTTAAAGTGCGAGATCTTTTGGTCTTAGGGCTTGGGGTCTCGGACATCATCTATGGGCTCAGATTTGTTGATTGACTTTCTGCTTTGGAGCCGGGCATAGTGTCAATCGCAAAGATGTGGAACCAGCTTCGGGTTAGAAGTTTCAAGTTCAATTTCAGGGAACAGGTAGTGGGGTCATTGGTTTTGGAAGGCAGAGCTGGTGCCAACCGTGGAGTGCTGCAAAGTCAGCGCATTTAGACGTTTAAACCCAACCCCGCAACCCTACACCTTGCCTTAGCCGTAACACCCATGACTGCAGACCGGAAAGGGGTTCCTCGTCTTCCTCAGCACCTAGTTGCGGGACATAGTAAGACTCGTTCAATGTCGGTAACCATAGGGGCTAGCTATCGAAGCGCTCCGTACCGATCATCGCAGCACGTTATTGAAGCTGAAAGGCGTGTGGTGTGGCTATCGATGCTTCGGGCAAGGCGATCGGCTTGTCACTGGGCTTTGTTGTCCTTGGCAATATTGGCATTACAGTGCGATTTTGCGTGCATGAGTCGTTTTGCAGCCTCTGTCCCCGCCCTCTGCTCAAACATCTTGAAGTACTTACAACTTACGCTTGATAGACGCAGCGTCTTGCATAAGAGGGATCTTTAGTGGAGGCCTGCCCAGTGGGCTCCGGTCGTGCGCTGCAGGTTATGGACAAAAGACGTCAAGAAGCATGCACAAGCAATCTTTGTACTGGCTTACACAGTTCCTTAAGCTGAGAGGGGTACGGTCTAGCCATGGGGTTCAGGATGCATAACGTAAGCTGCATGGCAACAATTTGAGATGTTTTTTGATGTGACGCGTTTGAGGGCCATCCCAAGAGCCTTTAGGATGCTTGTAGGCTTGGGAGTGGACCATGGAGAACCAAGCCACACCAAGCCTCTAACCGACCACCCTACCAAGGTCACACACACACACAAGAGAAGGGAGCTCAACTTCCAAAAAGCGGGAAACTCGAACCACACCTGAACCTCGTACCCGCCACGTTGAAGGGCTCTTAACGCCTTTCAGTCCCAGGATCCAGCTCGGCTTTCACGACACCCCAGGCTTGTCTGGGGCTCATTCTTGACTGCAACATGAGGACCTCAATAGTTCAGCAAACTTGAAAAGGGTGTTCTGTATGCTTTCAGAAAGCCTAATTACTCGGTTCCATTTGTTCAGAGCTAGCCGCTCAAGAACAGCTGGTACTGTTCCTGGATCGTTTTTGCTGCAGTTCTCGCGCATGGTATATCCCCTTTTCGGATTGATCAATGGCCCGTGGGTTTTCAGAGCGGAACGCGGAGTTCCACTTTCGTTTAGGGCCCTCTGCGACTCGACAGTGACGATGGCAGTGCCAACCGAGACCCGCTGGAGCTCCTGAGGGAGACACGGGCCCGAAGGCCGTCTCAATCTCATGCTTGCGCAGAGGGGAAGAGGGTGCGGAATATTTACCCGGAGCTTCGCCCTCTTGCGCCGCAGCCACCACAGGTGATGGCATCTGCACAGATTGTCCATTCCGCGGTAGAACAATAAACTTGTGGCTTCGGGTTGGCTCTGGCACCGCGAAGCCATCAACCTCGCAGACCCCAAGCTTCAATTAACTCCCAAGCCCGAGCGAGGCCCCAAGCAGAGGCCACATGGCCACAAAGACAAAGTGCGGAGAGGATGCTCTGGCCAAAGCCGAGTTCCAAGCCAAGCCCCATAGTTCTTTCTTGTTTCGGAAAACCCGTGAGCAAATCCAGGTGACCCTCAACCTGGAACCTTAAGGCGCCCTTCGTGAACACTCTCAAATCCTTGCACACCAAGGTCCCAACCCTCAACCTGCTTCCGAAAGCTCGGAACAGAACCTTGAGCTTTATGCCTTCAACCCTGAGCCTCAAAGGCTGAGACGACGAATCAAAAAATGTCCAAGCCCTCGCCAGGCGACTGGGAGATTCCGTCCTGCTGTGTGCAGCTTGTTTGGCAGAGAAGGGCTGCTTTCTGATTGGCTTTGCGGGGCCTCTCCAGACTCCCACAGCTTAGATCGGGCTTGCTGGTTCATTGGGGAGCCTGCTAGACCTCCTTGGGAGCAACCCTCACATCCTCTGCCCTCAACCTTCGTTGGCTGTATAGGTGTGCGGAAAGAGCAGGACTTAGCATGGTGTTGTCCGGGGCTGGGGGCATACGGTTCGTGGCTCGCCATTCACACGGCCGCCAGCTCGAAATCTACCGACAGTTTGGGGCTGCAACCTCTCTGCAGCGCTACCACCGGCAACCCCAACCCGACCTTCAGATGAAAGGTGCGTGATGTGTGACTCTCAAGTGGAAGTAGATTGAAGGCCTCCCCGGTTTGCAACCCCGCGAATTGTACGCACTGGTGGCTAGAGGTTGCCGTGTGCCAGCAGGAGTCAAAAGATGCACTGCATCAACAAAAAGATTTCAGCTGCTGGCTAGACCGATAAGCTCCCGCGATCAGATCTGTGCCAGATGGGATCCACAGCTGCAGGCGTCAACTCAAAGGATCACCCCTGCACCCAAAATACGTATCTGAACCCATCGCCTGTAGCCGACATGAAGTCTTTGACCTTTACACCGCCGCATCTGCAATTATGCAAGGTGCATGCATGCAACGGTGAAGCCGAGCGAGTGCCACGTGGAACCGTGTCTGGTGTGAGCTGTCAGGGCTATGTGCGGCTATGTAATACAGCGTATTCTAAGAGCATCCTTTTGAGTTCGGGGGTTCAGGACCTGGAGTCACACTTGACTTGCGCAGCACCTTTAGGATTGGCTTCACTTGTGTGTGCCTCTCTCTCTCTGTGTGTCTCTCTGTGTGTCTCTGTCTGTCTGTCTGTCTGTCTCTGTGTGTGTGTGTGTCTCTGTCTGTGTGTGTGTGTGGAAAATGCTGGAAAGTCACCAGGACATGGGCCGCGCATCTATTTCAGCAGATACCGCAAGTACCAAAGTATTCAAGAGGGCCATGGTGAACATTGAACTTTATATACTTCATGCTATGAAGGAACACACAACCCCCTTCCGTCAAGAATTCCATCGTCCGGAGCCTTATCAACCCCTCCTATTTTGAAGTCTGTGGATATCATGGAAACTTTTAACGTTTAAAACCTCAACATAGGGGTTAATCCTGTTGCTTTCTTGTCTTTCTTCGATGAGGAACGAATTGTGGTGGGGGCCGCGGCGCGCGGCAAAGGGCTTGGACCCGCGTCGGTGAAAGGTTTGATTTGGCCTGGCAGGGCTGAGTTGAGAGTGTGGTCTGCGGATGTCTAGGTTGTCCGGGCTGCAAGTTTTAACGTCGTATGGTTAGGTCATCTGGCTTCACAGGGTAAGAACTTCTAATGTATGGTGAAGCAGGCTGCTATCAGAAGTCATGTGTACAGTTTAATGCTGTCTGGGGCACTCTGAAACATTTGTTGGAGTACCGAGGCTTAAGATGATTTCAAGGTTTAGTGCATAGGATTATCCTGCGTACGCCCTGGGCTGGAGATGCTGTTCAGCTTGTCCTTCGCGTGGACCACCGGTTTAAGGTTAGTTCTCTTGCAGACTCTGGTTGCTAGTTCGGTTGTCCAGCCCTACGCCGAGTGCCAACGGCTGCCCCCAGGCTCCCTATCCTGGCGATTGAGAAATTCGTCCTCGACAAATCCTGAGAACTGGCACCCCGAATATCCGAAACCTTTTCCCGAAACTTAGGGGTGGGGTGTCATTGCGTCTAGAGGATTAGGGTGTAGGAGTCGGAGTTGATTCACTTAGGCTTGAGGGTTTGAAACCCTATTCTTTGCCCGAAAGCTTCAGGAACCAAGCTCCTCAACTGGGCTGAAGATCGTGCACGAGAGCGCGGCTGCAAGACGATGTTCTTGGAGGCCCCTGGCAATGTACCAGTGTGTGAGGTTTGGGGGTGGGGGTTGTTCTGTTTTGGGATTCATGGTTTAAGTGCCTGTGGTGTTGACGATTGACGATCCGTGCTTGAGGTTTTCTGTTTGGGGGTCTAGCAGTTTGGTCCTCCGGGATTATTTCTGTGCAGTGGTCTAAGACTCCTTGCTTGGCCGCTATGAACTCAATCGTTGACAAGTGGGTGATGTGAGAGAAGTACCGACGAGTCTGTTCTCAGGGGTTTGGCAGCATCGAGAAGTCTTGCTGGAAGTTTCCTGTGGCTTCGAGCTGCCTTCTTGTTCAGGACGATTACGGGGTTTTCAGGGCAGTCGGGCATCAGTATTCCTCTCGTTTGCTGCCCTAAACGCGAAATTTCAATCCAGAATGTCCGATTTCAATTCCTTGCACTCGGAGGCAGAGAATGCAAGTTTCAGCAATCGAGTTACATGCGAATTCTGGTGTTGTTTCTGCCTGGGTACTGCAAGTTCGGCATGCTCTTCCCGGGGCTTTTTCAACAAAGACAAGAGAGGTTCGTCGGTTTAGGGTTCATTTTCTTGGCTACACCTCCTGTTTCTCAATCCTACGAAAACACCCGGGTGAACTCCTTCAGGTCCCGAAATGTATGGCCAAGTCGAAACTCCGAAACCCGACATCAGCCTTGATACTGGAACAAACGATTCACTGCCCTATAGTTCTACGGAGCATGCACACTAGCAACGCTCCAGTCTTACAGTCTAAGCTTAAGCCGTGCGCACCCTAAAGCCAGAAATGCCCGAAGCCCTGAACGAATCCCGCCCGTCTGCGTCAGGTCGTTAGCGGCAATCCTGCCAAGAAACTCTACGAGAAGCATGGATACGTCCAGGAGACTACTGCATGTGGAAGAGCCTTTGGTGCAATCCCAGCAGCGCTCGGAAGTAGTACATTGAATCAATACACTAGACGCAGCTGGAATTCATTTTTTAATTTAGGGTTTGGGGTTCAGATGCTTGGAGAGAAGAGGGGCTGAATGTTCTCCTTAAGCTCGACGCATACCTGCGAAGACTGCTTTGAACACCGAACCCGAATCCTCAAGCCCCAAGCCCTCAAACACCCTCAAACCCGAAATCTTAAAGCCACAGGCTCCTGGGTAGTATGACGCCTTAAAGGGACCCTACTGAACCCTACTTATGGACCTATCAACAAGGGTTCCCCTAATCCTAACTCCCACAGACCCAAAAGTCTGAAACCTTCCGGTTTAGGGTTTAGGGTTTAGTGTAGGTTTTATGGGGGTTTAGGGTTTAGTTTAGGGTTTATAGGAGTTTAGGGTTTAGGGTTTAGGGATACCTCGGCCAGCGACCCAAAGCTCCAGGACTCTAGGTCTCGAGATAGCTGGCTTACTCGAGGCTATGGTTTGGGGATTTCGTGCTTGGGACTCACCGGCTTTAGGGTATGCATATAGATATGTATACATTTGTGTGTATATAATATATATATACATATATATATGTATATATGTATATATATATAAATATATATATATATATACACATGCACACACTCACATACATACATACATACATACATACATACATACATACATACATACATACATACATACATACATACATACATATATATATAGATATATAGTGTGCATATGTGTATATATATATATGCACATAAATATATATAAACATATGTATACACACATATACATATATATACACACATGGTATAGGCTTCAGGACCCTACATGCAGGTTGGAAGTAAACAAAGAGGTTTCGAGTTGATTCTGACTTGTGCTTCCCTGTGCATGACCCTCAGGTTGCCTGGTTGGGAATCATGTGTTTGATACAGGGACATCGATATTCAAGAGCGGCGCGTCTATGCAGTTCTTGGCTGGCTACCGTCTAGTGTGCCCCTGAAACTGATGACAGCAACTCTGCTTGGGTCCTTTCCTGCGGCTTTGCCCCTGGAGTCAAGGATGCATGATCTGCCCCTTCACTTTCTGCATCATGGGGCACGTCTACGCCGACACCATGCGGAAGCCTCTTCCATGAGTGAACAAGCAGTCAGACGGCAGTTGCTTCCCTTTCACGTTGCATGGTAGCTCCTGCCATGGTTCATTATATATAAATGGAGGTAGTCCTCGGAGTGTACCGAAGTACATCACAGTCCATGCCTCGCTGTAGGAATAGTTCGTCTACAATCTTCAATCCTGACCGGCAAGCTCCTCGAAGCAGGAGCTTTGCTGTTGCTCCTTTTCTGGTTTGGCGAATGCCAGAGCTTCCAGAAACCGATGCTCCCAGGAACCTGGCAGGTCCGGTTCCCCGAAGACGCCCTTAGGTCCCTGGCCCCCTTTTTTTCAAGTGGATACATTCCGTAGGCCCAAGCCCCAAAGCCTGAAACCCTAAAGCCCTATACCCGAAACGGTAGGCTCAATACGCTCTAGGATAGCTGTCCGAGCTTCCACTCTTACAATGTACCGGCATCGAGTCTGAGTCTGATTTCGTCCGCCAGAGTTACGGTTTTGCATGGATATCGAGTTTGAAGAGGTGAAGTAGGGCCGGCATCAACGGGCCCCTCCCAAGAAAGATAAGCGAAGACTTCCGGATTGAGGGAAAAGGGGTTTCTGCAATCGGATTTCAGGGCTCAAGCGCCCAGCGACTTGCGACTCTTCGAGATCCTAAATGGTTGAAAAACCAACAGCCTCAACGAGATGTTAAGCAGATGAGAGGAATAGATGTCTTTCTCCTAGGAACCCTCAATTCAAACTTACACTTGCCATGGCAACGCGGGATTGAGCCTTGATCAAACTTGCTCCTGGTTGCTGAGACATGCGACCTGCTGTCGTACCTTCGAAGAAGCCAGCAAAAAGGAGTCCTGCCAGCAGGGGTTGTGGTTCCGAGCAGCCTCAACCCTAAACCCGAAACCCGAAGCTCCAAAAAGAAACCTGAAGCCCTAAACAGCTGTGGGTCAAGGCAATATGGGATGTGTGGGTTCGGAGCTCTTCAGGGTAGTGAGGGATGCCGGGCATTCGGGCGGAGGGTTCGGTTCCGGGTTGGTAGAACTTAGGGTTTAGGGTTTTGGGGCGTTTGGGGTTCAGGTTTCAGGGCAGAGGGGCATTCGAGCTCCGGGTTTCGGACCAATGCTGATGTCTGGCTTCGAAGGTTAAGGAGACCTTGCAGGTCAGGGACTGAAGAAAGTTGCTGATCAAAGAGACTTTCCCTGCTGGTCAGCACGAAGATGGACTTTGTCAGGGACAATATAAATTTAGTTCCTCAGGGTCCAAGGCATTTTGGCTTATAGGCATCCCTCAATTGCAGCATGCTTCCCCAACCCGTGGCGAATTCCCGCAGCCATATGTAGATTCCGAGATCCCCAATCCTGGAACCCTACGACCTTACCATGGCCCTAGCTTCATGCGCTGCTTTTGCATCTTCCAGCTTATAAAGTGGAGACCCTCAGACCGGTATGGTAATATAGGGGCTTGAATGTAGCAATGCATACAATTCCTCAGGGTTGCTCGATATACTTACACTCTTACACACACACACACTCTCTCTCTCACACTCGCACTTTTACACACACACACACACACACACACGCACACACACAAACTTTTGCAGACACACACACACACACAC